TTCCTGACTGTCCTGATCTGAACAGCTTTCTTCCACTTTGCCTTTGGTCACTGATGTTCTGCCTTGCTGTGGGACTTAAAAGGAATGAAACCAACCACTCTTGGACTGAAACCTCTGTAACCATGAGTGAAAATAAATTTTTATTTAAGTCATGCTTCTCAGATATTTTGTTCCAGTGATGAAAAGTGACTAACACAGTGTGAGAAGGGAAAGAAGCCTGGGATATTAAGAAGAGAATTCTAGTAAAGCTTGAAGCATTATGGTGCTAAGCTTATGGGTGTTGCTCTTAGGGACTCCGGTTTTAAGAAAATGAAGTATAATTTTTGATTTGTGCTTTTGAGCTTTCCTTCATAACAGAGGGTCATCTCTTCTACTATTTTATATCTTCTTTGCCTAGAAACCCCTCATAAATATGTTCCCAAACCAAAATCAACAGAGTAATTTTCTAATATACACCCCCATTAAAATGTCTGCATTCCAAAGTGTCGTGTTACAATCCAGATGTAATTCTGCCATTCCTCTCTCTTTAGATTCTCTCACCTTCTTGAATAGCATCCCTTTTCTCTTTACTAGATCTTCCATCCCTCCCTCCCTCCCTCCCTCCTTCCTTCCTTCCTTCCTTCCTTCCTTCCTTCCTTCCTTCCTTCCTTCCTTCCTTCCTGCTATACAGTCAAACTACTGATCCTCCTGCCTCAGCATGCCTAGTACTGGGATTAAGCATGTTACCATACTGTAGGAATGACTTTTATAATAATCTGGACTAATAACTTTTAATTAACTCCAGCAAAACTATGTGCTCTTGTGTCTTGTGACCTGGGTAACTGATCTTGTTTCCTTGGTAACCTCAATTTGGTAATCTTCCCCAAAAGATGATGGATGAATGAATGAATGAATGAATGAATGTGGGTATGCTTGAGAATTAACATATCAAACACTGAAAGCAGGTGCACTCATCTCCATTGCATACAATGAAGACTGGGAAGGATGCATGACCTTGGGTGAATGAGATATTCTAGAAGTAGGGGATGAAAAGACAGGATGGTGTGTTCAGATTAGGGTGGAGTCAAACTTGTACTTCCCCACTGAAGCTGGAGAAACCATTGTGAATAAAATCGTGGGTGGGGTCTGGAGGACTCAGTTCAGGAATGGAGTTCCAGCCAGAGAGCTCCATTAGCACAGTTCAAGAGACATCTGGGGGAATGGATGTTCTCTGAGTTTGGGTCCACTCCTAAAAACTAAATTGAAGAGGCTTTCTGTTCAGGTAATTACAATGTTGGTGTAGTAACACCGCACCACACCTGGCTGCATTTGAGTTTTTATATTCTTTTTATCAGTTACTTAATTGATGCTTCTTGGAGAACAAGGAATATATCTTTTCATCTATTGCCATGTAACTTAGATCAGTGTTCTGCACAGAACAGACGATGTGTACTATAAGTTACACAGACTTATTTGGTGTTACTGAATGCTTATGTGCTGCTGTAGGCAGGTGGACTTTCTCATCTGACTGAACACTGCAGTCTACTAAGTGACTTCCAGCTTCCAAACTTTCATTCTTCATATTGTTGCCTGGGTTATTTCCATACATTTTAGTTGAAATTGGTGTCTAATGCTCTTATAAGATCTTAACCTTTTGTATTCAAGGTCCTCTATCACCTGGTCCTGTGCTACACATCTACTCCCATCTTGCACCTTATCTTCAACATATGTGTGGTCTGGTTGTGCTGGATCATCAAGTAACCAAAAAGTGTTACTGCCAGGACTTTATTTCATACCATAGCATTAAACCACCTCCCTTTATCCTGTAGGTCACAGAAGAATTTTTTTTTTAAGTTGTTGTCATATTGATTATTTCCAGCTGCTCCTTGGCCAAGATATAAAAAGTTAGATGAAACTCATCTGATTCCTATTGACGAAAGTGACTGCCAAAGTTGTTAAGCATCTGAGCCAGTCCTGGGGAATCTCTGAACCTGTCAAAGCTTACCTTGCAATAACAGTGATGCTCTCAATAAAGTCAGACTTAACTGCAATTTTGAGCTAATGAAGGAAAACACTGCCTGACAGAGACAGGAACCTTAAAGTCTCCACACTGTCCAGATTCACAGTGTGTTCATTCATGACACCTCTCCTGACAGTTCACATAGCCCCTGCTTCTTTCCATACTCCAACTGCAAATGATCAAATACTGTCACTTAACAACACAAAAGCACCTCTGAAAGACCTCACTCCTGTGAAATTTTGTGTGATTATTTGAGTAATTTCATTGAAACAGATCCTTGTGCTCACATGACAGATTCAAACTTTCTATTTATTTCAGTGTGAAATGACTGTATTTTGAACCATCCTTCATATGAAAATAAATGCACAGACTGTGGGTCCCAGGCACCTGAACTTTGGGAAGCTGGGACAGTAATACTTACTTATGGAGTATAAGATAGCTAATCTGAAATTTATTTGAGTTTGTTCCACACCAGAGAGCATGGAAAATGCTACCTCAATAAAGATTATGCCTTCAGAAGCCTGAAAATCAAAACTCTTTTTAAAACTGGCATTTTCCTCTATCAAAGGTCAAAAGCCAAGAAGAGCATGTGTAGTTAAAAAATATTTATTGATTACCAAATGAAAAAGTTCTGAAAATATTTGTAGACATCTGAGTCGGTGGGCTTTTAAAATGTTACCTTTTTTTTTTTTTTTTTTTTTTAAAGTTGGTCATGGTGGAACCGTCCTGCAGTTCTACCTGCTTAGGAGGCTGAGGCAGGAGAATTGCTAGAGTTTGGGAGTTTAAAATCAGCCTGAGAATTGTATCTGATGATCCTTAAGAAAATACATAAAACAAAAATCTCCTGTAAATTTTGTCCTTATTTCTCTGACACTGATAGATACTTCTTGTTGCACTAAATTCCTTACAGGTTCTTCCAACATTCATTCATTCATTCATTCAATCATTTGTTCAGCTCCCAGTATATGCCAGGTGTTATAGTAGGTGCTAGGAATGAGCAGAGAGCAGAAAGAAGCACAGGATCCTCACTTGGGGTAACCATAATCTACTTGGAGAAGATAGAATTATCAAGCAATTATGAAAATTACTGAGAAATAACTTAAGTGCTCAAGAGAATCTGGTACTGTGACATCTGAAAAGGGATGTGACCTAGGTAAAGAGGTCAGAGTTCACTTCCCTTGGGGAGGTGGCAATTGCATTAATAGGTGATTGATGAGTCAGAGCTAAAATTGTGCAGGGGAACTATTGAATGGAAAGACCCCTGGGGCTGAGGGGCATAGCATCTTCAAGCAAATGGAAACAGGCCAGCACAGCTGGTAGGGAGAGCTGCAGGAAACATGGAAACAAGATTGAGAGGGAAGAAGAGGTCAACCTAGCAGGGTTAGGCTGTATTAGGGATGTTGCTTTCATGTAATGTTTGGAAGACCAGTCAGGGGTCTTATAAATAAGCAACCGGAGACAAGATTCAGTTTGTGTGTTGAAAGGATCCCTAGACTTAAGGAAACACATTACACATTAGGTGTTGGGGACAGTGGGGGGGGGGAGGAGAGAGAGAGAGAGAGAGAGAGAGAGAGAGAGAGAGAGAGATGTGGGAGTGAGAGTGAATGGTAGGGGGGGGGGGGGGGGGGGGGGGGGGGGGGAGAGAGAGAGAGAGAGAGAGAGAGAGAGAGAGAGAGAGAGAGAGAACTACAGTTATATAGGCATCAAGTGGTGGCATCTTTGATTAGAGAGGGCTGGAGGACAAGCTGGGCAGAGTGAGGTGAAACGAATAGGACCTGGTGGCAAAGTAGATTCCTGTTAGTGAAAGTTTTTACAAACTAAGGTCTATACAGACATGGCATTATTTATATACATTTCTATCATAGTATCAGTTTCAACGGCCCTTGAAATTCACTTCGTCAACCAGCATATATGCGGTACCTGCATGTCACCCTGGCTGTCCATGCAGAAATGGGCAAAGCTGCCCCTCTGGTAAGTCCCTTGTGCTTGTTGTTTCCATAAATTCTGCTTAAAGGTGAGAATTACATCAGACAAAATGGAAACAGTGTTTAAATTACAGAGCATTTTCTTTTGTCAAATAACCTTTTTAGTGCTTCATCTGAACCCCTTGCTACTTACAGATATCAGGGGTATAGGCTGGGAGGTGTACAGTGAGGCGCCAAGGATGATGTTGGGAACTTCCAAGGACACAAAGCTATGAGAAGTCCATTACTTGGACTCAGGTCTTCCAACTCCAAGATGAGAGTGACCGTTGTCTCCTATCTCTTTACTAAAGCCAAAGTTAAAGATACTGAAAAACTGCCTGATAAAAGGGATCCTCTTTAAATTAGCCAGTTTGAAAAGCAACAGGCTGAAGGCCCTTTTCAGCTAGGAAAAAGCACATTTATGCATGAAATCTAAAAAACCAAGTGCTCTTGTTGCCTTCTTCAAAGTTACTTGAAGTAACACAATCAGATTGATATTAGCCAAATGAAGGCAGGAGATGAGACAGTTCTGAGATTTGTATTGATACAGCATAGAAGTGTTTTCAGGTATGTGTCTTGGAAGCTCATGTCAGCACCAGTGAGGAAGTCTGGACCCAAGAACAGAGTAGGTAGGCCCAAGCTGACCTTAGCTTTTCTTCCCCTGAACAGCTTAGCTGTAACTGTGATGCTGACCTCCACATGCTCTCTTACTACACATCTTGGCTGGTTCTTAACACACAGGTCAATGTTCTTTTGTGGTTCTTATTTTATTAACAATTTTGACATTCACAAGTTTGTGTTGTAAAGCTTGAATCTAGAGTGGTCCTAGGGATGTGATTTAAGACTCCCTAATGCCTCTAGGTTTAAAGAGCACATCTTCCTTGCAACTATCATTTTTTCCCTTCCAAGCATTGTCAGCGCTCACTGTCCAGGTACACAATCAACTGTCATCTCTCTTTACTGAAAGAGGTTTTCCTTTATAGCTGTAATATTTCAAATTATTAAAATACAACAGAATCACATCTGGACTCCAAATGTTCAATGACATTATTTTACCAAAATAAATTTATTAAAAGTATGCAAAGACCACTTCAAAGTTTAGCTGCCTGCAAGACAGTTTTTGGCACTCGTAACGCACATTAGTTTTCTACACAGTAGCACTCATTCCAATCCATACACCTTTAACAGTTCAAACACACCTTTTTAGTTTCAGGGATACACCATACAATAGTACTAATGACCTGTAGTCCTAAGAACTTTAACACCTTGCACACAGTAAACATGTGAATGTTACTTAGTACTGAAAAACTAAAACTAGAGCTAAAACCACTATGTGGTGACATGGATTGATTCGGGGAAAGATGTACAGCCAGCTAGCTAGGCCACATAATCCCAGACCTATTGATTTTAAAGATGTTTGGACCAACAATATTACACTGTATCTTTCACCTTGCTCCTGCTTTTCTATGGAGGGACAGCACATTCAGACCACTGTTCCCTCGCTATGTCCTTCACACAGCAAGAGAAGCTGTTCTCAAAGCTTCTGGTTTTGGCTTCCTGATTTGCTACCCAACTTTGAATCAATAGTTCTGAGTGATGTTTCCTGAACACCCAGGCTGAATTCAAGGTCAGTCTTTTGGCAGGTCACAGCCTTCCATCTTAGGAGAGAGAATAAAATGTCCTCTTATTTTGGGGCTCCCCCTTGCGTCTCATGTAGCATGGGGCTCTGTGGTGATCTGTGGTTTTTTACACAAGTCCTGGTAAAATTCTGACTCCAAGAAACGTGGGTAAGAGTTGTTCTCCATCAAGCTGTACACCCTCTTCTGAGCAGTTGTAAAGCAGCCACTTGTAGCCTCTTGTATATTTTGGGCAATCAGTGTTTTGGTTTGAAAGTCTATGTTTATCTGAAATTTAAAAAGAAATGGTTTATTTGGTATCCAGCATTAGAAAATGAAGTTTAATAACTGAAAACAAAAAAAGGTGTAATGTGTAATATGAGTCAATTCTGGAGAAACAAATTCAACACAGGCTGAGGGAGGCTCTTCCCCACTGAACCTGCACGCTAGTCTGTCATGTTCAATTCTTGTGTTTGTCTATGGGATTGAAGATGTCCAAATGATGCTGACACAGGAAACTTGTTTTCTTACCTCTTTTGGAGCTTCTTTTTCTATGAAGTCAGTATATATTTTCCTTGCTTTTGAGGATAGCTTTTGGGGGGATTTGGTTTTTTTGAAGTCTTCACAAGCCAACCAGAATTCAATATTTTCTTCACAGAACTCAGATTTTAAAAATGCCCTGAATGCAGCAAGCCCATCTGCAAACATAAGAAAACAAAACATGCGGAATGTGAACTGAATGGCCAAATCGCATATTGTTTTTCTAGTGTTAGAGTGATCAGTTTTCTGATTTCATTCAAACACCCGTCTTTCTCAGAATTTAGCTCTTAAGATGCCAGTAGGCAAGATGCTTGGGTTTGTACTATGCTACAAAAATATACTTTACTGTCTATGCAAAATAAATATTTATAGGAGAGCCATAAATTCTCTGGGAACTAGGGCTCCTGAAAACATTCTTTGGAATGGAAAAGTTGACTCAACAACAACTGAGCAACTGTCATTTTCATTTTTAGGCTAATTTTTCTTCCCCACCTGACCATGACTACCTCATGCTTTTCCATGATTAAACTCTGAAAATGAAGGGAAAGAAAAACAGGCTTTCTGTTCTAAGTTGGTGGTAAGATCTAATTCTTTTCTTGCAAGCTGTTCATTTGTGGTGTGGACACAACTCTTCTCAGCTCCTGTGATACTTTTAAGGGAGCAAAGTCAGGCGTTTAACTTACATTTACTGGCTAGCAGCTCGTCGAAGGCTTCGGACCACAGCAGTGCTTCCTCAGGAGAAGGTCTGCAAGGGAAGTTCCACACATTAGCCACCTCATTTCACAGTTCCCCTTTCTAGTTCAGCATTTGGCTATTACACCCACAACTACAGGATGCCCAACTTACTTGATAAAAGTTTGCTGTTTGCTTTTCTTGGTAGCTTTGGGCTTCCCAGCAGTGGAAGAATTTTGCAAGAAGTAGCTCAAACGGGTCTTCCAATCTTTTAAGCTAGAAAAAGAGAGGAAAAAAAAATCTTTAATTGGCAACCCTTTAATAGTAAAAATACCTTCAGCTACAATGCATAAAGTCACCAAGTAGTGGCAAACAAATCATGCCAGAGAAAAACCATCTTATCCCTTAACATCCAAACTTCATGTATGGAACACAACTTCATCAACTTTAACTAGTTTTATAAAAAAGGATAGCACTACCTAAATCACTAGGATATTTTAGTAAATTTAATTCTCATAGTTTAAATGGCATAGCGCCATTTCAACGACAAAAGATCCAGCAGTTTCTCTGCAAGGTTAACTGCAGTTGGGAGACATTTTGCACTTGAGACTAGCAGGGGAAGAGTATTGAGCCAGCTGATGCTCCTTCCCCTCTGCAGCAGGAGGGTCTGGACCAGAGGCTGTGCGTAAAGAGCTGTGTGGTGGTTTCCTCAGCTCCCCTCCTGGACTGCCCTACAATGCTCCATTGAAATAGGTACTGCAGAGGAATTACTCATTCCACAGTCGTGACTGGGTGAGACCTACTTTATAATTTAATACTGGCTCTAAAAAGAATATATTCCGAATAAGCCAGAACAGCTCCACCCAGCAGCTGTGTAAGCTGCTCAGAACTCACAAAGCAATGTATGGGAGCTGCCTGCAGGATTCTGATGTCATATTAAATGCAGAACAAAAAGGCAATCAGCGCGTTTCAGCCTTTCTACCGCCAGTCTCAACACAGTCCCCAAACTTCTGAGGTCACACGCACAGAAAAACCCCACGTACCACCCAGATTTAGCAAACCAACCCCCCACCCCCACCCCGCCCTCGTCCCTCCACCCTTTTTCTGCAGAGGCGCAGGCTAGAATTTGCTGCAAAGCCCAGACCGAAGGTCCTTTGCTAGGCGCAAACCCCGGCGGGGTAGGCGCCGCAGGGAGAGGGCAGCCTTACTCACAGCGTCCGCTTCATCTTCTCCCGCTTCTCCTCGCCCTTGGGGCCGCTGCCTGCGCTCTTGTCCATGGGTACGCAGTCGTGCTGGACGGCCAGGAACATGGCACTTTGCATCCTAGTCCGTTTGTGTCCACCGCAGCTGTTTGCAGCCAGGAGCGCTCCACCGCATTTAAGGCTCGCGGAGCTTCGAGGGCGGAGCATCGAGGTGCCGGCCCCGCCTCCCAAGGGTGAGGATTGGTCGGCTGCGGCCGGCACGGGGCGGGGGGGGGGGGGGGCCCCGCCCGGCTGCGGCAGTCACGGCCAACGCTGAAGGGTCTGGAAGCGAGGGCGCTGCTGACGTAGGGACTGCGGCCGCTTGCGCACGTAGGCCGGGATGCGGCGGGCGCCGCGGTGTGGGAGCAGAAAGGGGCATGGAGGGAGTGGGGGCCGCCGAGCTTGCCCCGAAGTTCCGTGGCTTTACTTTGGATTAAGACCGGGCTTTTTTCTTTTTAATTTTCCTTGAGGTCCCTCCCACCTCCTTGATCTTGATCTCTTGTTCACAGTCCGGCTTTAAGCCGCACCCGAGGCCACCTGTTCTGTAAACAGGCCCTTGCTGGCTGCTCCCATCCGTCCCCTAAAATAGAGAAGTAAGTAGAGAAACCTGAAACATGGCTTCCCGGACCAAGGTGTTGTGACTGGCTCTGCAGCTTTCCTAGGCATCTTGGAATACTTTGTGGGAATGCACGTTTGTCAGGAAGCTGGAGAAAGTAACTTTGTCTTAAGACAGTGGCTTAATTGGTTCTGCCTGTTTGATCGTTAGACGCGTGGTTGCAGCCAACCGTGAAGCTGAGGGGTTGTTCCCCAGGAGTCCTTCAGGGCTTCTGCCAAAACAGAAAGAAATCACAAATCTGATTGATGGCGAGGGATAACGAGGTGGGAAGCACAGGATCTTGCAGCTGTATTGCACCAGAATTATTCTAGTTTTTAGGGTGCAAGGAACCAGGATTTCCTCTTGAGTCATTATTTGTTGAACTGGCTTAGAATTTACCTCCCGTTCAGATGATAATTAAGAAGGTTATTAGGGCTGGATGGGAGGGTGAGGAGGTGTAAAATTTGCTTGAAGAAGCTTCGTGTGTGAAGTCTTCAAAACCAATCTCTACTCCTGCAGGCTTTAAAGTGCTTTGACAAATAGATGACCTCAACTAAGAAATGATTCAGTTTCCTATGTTACCAGAGCAATACAGCGGAATATTTAAGTGGTTTTCCCTTCAGGCCTAAACAGACAGCAAGATTAACAACAAGGCATGGATTAGGCTGCCGTTCTCCCTATTTTATATTAGACCTGTTAGAATTGGAAACCTCCTCTTCTAATTTGGAACTAGCCAGCACGTTTATATATAGAGCTGCCGGTAGTTGGCGCTCCAAGTTTGATCTGGAGAGTAAAACCTGCAGTTACTACTAAAGAAAATAGCAATAGCCTTTATTGTGGAAAGGAATATCGTCTAGATTTTAGTAATACACACTTAAAAGCATGTTTGTAAAGCTGTTCATAGACATAGGCTTTTCATCTCCAAAAGAAGGCCACAGTACTCTTACATCTATTTAATTTGTGATGATTCAAAATTTATTAAATAGTAATTGCTGTCTTAAGTATATGTAATGTGCAGACATGTTTGATCTTTCTCACGAATACAAACCTAGATCTGTTTTTCACTTACAACCTGTGTATTAAAATGTAGTCACAAACACTGATGTTCTCTTGAAGGCCAGGAGCCTATCTAAGAAACACTTGTGTCTGTCAGAAGCCCCTAAGAGACTCTTGTGTCTGCACAATTAGAGCCAGTGCTTAAATGGGTAGTTGCTAAGTATATGTTGGGACAGGCACGTCACACCTCCTGGACCCTAGTTTCTCACCTGTAATCACAGTAGTGTCTTTTTTCCTATAGTCTCATAGGTTATTATGTAAATCTTACATGAAAGGCCTTATATAACCTCTAAAGAGCTATGTAGAATTTGCTAATTTGTGTATGTGTGAATGGGGCAATATCCAAAGTAGCTAGCTTTTCAAGATAGAAAAATCATGAGGATTAACTCAGTTAATTTGATTCTAAGTGTGTAAGTTATATTAAATATAAGATAATGCATATTTATGGTGCCAAATTCATGATATTTACTAAATACTTTCTGGACAATAATAAGGAAAACAAACTAATTCACATTTAAACTCTTCTGAGATCTTGAAGCCAGAGTAGTTCAGTAATTTCTATACATTAACAAAAGCGAATATGCACCTACCCCTATAAACAACTTGTTGAAATATAGACTATCCTAGATGATTTGTGTGTTTAATACAAGTACTTGCCTTTTTTCACAAACCCTTTCAGACTACCAGTTGATACTAAGGCACACAATTATTTTTCTCCCTGAAAATTGTGGTCAGTTGATAAATCTGCATGCCACTTAAAAGTTTTACATCTACAGGTGATTTTTAGTTAAAGCAGTGCCTACTGCAGACAGATATCTTTTCCTTACAGTTCCCATGTTAATGTCTCTTTAAAGAGTAGCTTACATATTAAAAGTAAAAGCTACAAGTTTTGATGACTTCCCTTTAGGGATTTTTGTTGCAGTTGGTTTGCTAAATATTAAGATGATACATATTTTCCATTCTGTGGTGGCAGAGGAAACAATGCAGTGGGTTGTAAAAGCTGCACAGCAAAACCACAGTTTGAGAGTGCAGGGTAAATGAACGCTGCGTTTTCCATGTTGAATCTGCCATGCCCTCTGCTGGAGGGAGCATTTGAGCACATTCCTGGTGGAACTCATGGAATGGGCATTGAACTTAAATTTTTTTTCAAACAAAAAAGCAAATTTCTGATAGTATCACATGAATGTATTTAACATTAAAAAGTTTCCCCTGCCAAACCTGTATCTTCTCTATTATTAATTAATATGAATTAAAATATTTATATGTGTTGACTCTTACACTTTAGAAATTTGGGAACCAAGATAGTATGCTTTAAAAAAAATATAAAACTGTCATTTGGTGCATTATATGTTTAAAAATTTGTTTATTTTTTATGTGTGTGAGCGTTTTGCCTGTATGAGTGTAAATAGACTATGTGCATGCAGTGCCTGTGGAGGTCAAAAGAAGGCATAAGGTCTCCTGGAACTGGAGTTATGGATGGTTGTTGGCAGCCATGTGGGTGCTGGGAACTGGATATGTCCTCTGCTCTTAACCACTGAGCCATTTCTCCAGTCCCTACTATATGCTCTTTTAATTTAGCAAGATATTTTAGTTATTAAATCAGAAAGTACTGTAAGCATGTGGTTCACCTTTGTGAAATCTTAAATGGTTAGTTTTTCTAAAAAAAAAAAAGAAAGTAGGAAATAAAATGCTGTGTAGCAAAGAGTAATAATCAAATGTAACGAAGGTGACCTCCTGTCATTTTTGTTTTATTTTGTGTAACTTTAATTGGTGAAATTTTCATCAGAATGAACACATGATTTCACAAAACTCAGCACTCCATCTTTTCCCCAAAGTATTATCTGATATTTGAAAATTATAACTAATTTCTTAAACTATAATTTTCCAAGCTGGGAATAGTGCTGCAGGCCTTTAATCCCAGCACTTGGGAGGCAGAGGCAGGCAAATGTCTGTGAGATCTAGGCCAATCTGGTCTACACAGCATGTTTCAGACCAGCTGGGGCTACAGGGAGACCCTGTCTCAAGCAGCAAAAACAAAACAATAACAATAACAACTGAAAAAAAAATAACAAAAAAAAACAAAACCAACTATAACTTTCATGCCCAGAAGCAGAGAAAATTAAGCAGTGTTTTGTCAGAATTGTATTCCTTTCATGCTTGACATGCATTGTAGAGGAATTAGTCATTTCAGCAGTGTGTGTTGGCAATTTCAGTTAGTATACCTGCCTCCTGCTCCATCTGTGCTATGGCGTGTGATCTATTCCAAATGCAGGCAAAGCATTTGAAACTTAATAATCCCTCCTTACTAAAACATTAAGAATAACAGGAGCATAAAGAAAAATTTTTTTCTGAATAAAAAATTCAAACATAAATTGAAATCCCTCTAACCAGTCCCTGTAGTTGTTAGGCCTGCAAGATAAAGGACTGCCAGTATGGGGGTTTGAATTAGGAGACTGTGTTCTCCTGCTGCTCTTTGTGAATTGAAAACTTGGGGGAATAGTAGTAAAATAAATTGCCCAAATGGCATACTGTCTGCAAAGTACAGAAGCAAAGTTAGGAACATCTTTCATGACATTTCTTATGACTAGAATTTTAATTTCTGTCCAAAGAAATTGGAGTGTAAAACGGCCCATTTACTCTTTTTAAAATTTTTGGCATATTTGGTTAAAGATATATAAGATTTCAGTCACTGAGAATGCTTTCTCTGTCTCCCTTTTTCTAAGTATGAGAGAGCCATTGATAACAAGGAACCTGATGCACTAGTTTTTTTTTTTTTTCCAGTATGCTGAAAATTCTTGAGAACATTTATCCATTTTATCTAGGGATTGTCTCAACTCTTTGATTTATCGACTATTTTATAATAACAGACAATCTGTGCATATTCTCTCTCCAGGCTTTCTTTCCTTTTCTTTCTTTTCCTCTCCCTCTCCCTCTCTTTCTCTTTTTCCCTCCCTCCTCTCTTTCTGTTTTCTTTCTTTCCTTCCAATGAAAGTCCAGGCTAGACTTCTACTCTTGACCCTGCTGCCTCAGCCTTCCAAATGCTGCGATTATACCAGACACCTTGAAAACACCACCACCACCACCAACAACAACAACAAACAAACTCCAAAATCTCATCAGAAATAACTGGGACATGAAGGATGCTTTTAAGGAGATGTGAATAGTCTTTGACATAGTTATGCTGTAAATAGTCAAATTTTAAATGATATAATGGCACTAGTGCTCCTCAAACTTCTCAGCTTTTAAAATGAGATAATTTGTGTTTCTTTTCATAAGATATGTTTAGCAGAGCAGATCAGATGAACTGATTGTCCATAATTAAAACACTTGCTTTTCATTTCTGCTGCCTGTTTTACTGTAACTATGATCTTAGGAAATTGCTTAACTTATGTATATATGTGTTGTCTGTGTGTGTGTGTGTGTGTGTGTGTGTGTGTGCGTGTGTGTGTTTGTGT